TCCTAGACTTCATGATTGTTTTCAAAGCCACAGAGGAATTTCATCACTATAGGGCCGTTCTGAGGCCAGGGCCGTTCTGCTGCATAGGTAGCAAGCCGACTAGCGTTTGCATGGGCGCATTGGCGGAGCCACCTCCGCCATTGCAAACTCCACAACACCCCGAACAGGCAGAGGGATTTTGGGGGCAGCCGGCCAAACAGGCACAGCCGCCTCCGCCACCGCAGCCGCTGTTGTTGCCACAAGCCCCACTGCCACAGCCGCCGGCAGGGACACAGCCACCACCGCCACAACAACTGCTGCAACCACCGCTCGCACAGCCGCATCCCATGCTGCCGCATCCTGAACAACCAGCTGCTCCACAGTTGCCGACACCACAGCCGCCACAAGGACCCATGCCACAGCCATCTGCGCCACAACCGCCAGAAGATCCTCCTGCACAACCAGCCGCCCCACCGCCCGAGGCACACCCAGCACAGCCGGCAACGGCACAACTTCCGGCCGCACAACCGCCCGCACCACACGCGCCCGCGCTGCAACCACCTGCACCACAACCACACGAACCACAACCGCCCGCACTGCATCCACATGCTCCACAAGCTCCGGCACCGCAACCACTGCAGCCACTGCCTGCGAAGCTGTTGCCGCAAGCCATGCTGGTGCCGCAGCCGCCACATTCACCGGCTCTTGCTGAACCTCCACATCCATCTTGGCAAGATCCGGAGCAGCCACCACACCCAGAGTTGCAGCTTCCACCGCCTCCGCAGCCGCAGAGTCCACAGCCACCACAGCCGCCACAGCAACCACTGCATGCGCTCTGGAAGTTACAGCCGCCACATGGCATGTTCATGCAACCGCTTGCACCGCAACTTCTCAAGTTGCCCTCCATGCCGCCACTACAACCTAGGGAAGCACCGGTGGGTGACCCGCAACATCCACTGCAGCCACAGGCTCCGGGCTGGCAACCTTGGCAGCCTTGGCAACCTTGGCAACCTGCAGCAGGGCAGCCTGTAGGGCAGCCTGTGCAGCCGCAGCTGAGGCAGCCCATGCACCCGCAGGCGCCACAGCCAGCGTTACAGCAGCCACTGGGACAGCCACAGCCTTGGCAGGCGTTGCAGCCCCCACAGCAACCACCATCGCAGCCACACCCGCTGCAACCACAGCAGCCACCACCAGTCTTGACCATGCAACCTTGGCCAGGGTTGCAACCACTGCAGCCGCTGCAGCCACAGCCTCCGCAGGAACCTCCGCAGGAGCCTCCGCAGGAGCCACGGCCACAACAGCCACCACAAGGAGCTGCCGCGTTTCCTGAGTTCGGATTGCCCTGGGAGCCCTGGCTCTCACTTTGTCCTTGCCGGTTTTGAGCGCTCAGAGTTCCACAGGCTCCTTCTGCCTGATTCGTGCAGCAGCCACCACAGCAGCCGCAGCCACCACACGGCAAAGCATTTGGGCAGCAAGCGCAGCCTCCGCAGGGAGCGCATCCTCCGCAAAGGCAGCCACAGGCTGAGGGGCAGCAACCACACTGACAGCCGCCACAGCCACAAGGCATGCAGGCACAACCACCACATGCACCAGCCGGTGGTGGAGCATAGCACCCACAGCCACCCGCAGTGTTGGCACTTGTGCCGGAGTATGGAGTCTCCACAGTGTTGGCCTGCCCAGACAGATCCCGCCGATCTCTGCGGTCCCGAGGGAGCTGCTGTTGCTGCTGTTGCTGCTGTTGCTGCTGTTGCTGCTGTTGTTGCTGTTGCTGCTGCTGTTGCTGCTGTTGCTGCTGTTGCTGCTGTTGCTGCTGTTGCTGCTGTTGCTGCTGTTGCTGCTGTTGCTGCTGTTGCTGTGACCGCGACTGGGGTGGAGGCGGTGGCGGCTGCTGTTGCTGCTGATGGTCTCTGCCCCTCTCCTGTGCATGCTTTCCTTTCCGCTTCTCACGTTTACCTGCACAGCAGAGTTGTCATGGCTTGGACGCAAGCCCTGCAATGCGTAAATACTGTACATCTAGGAATCATCTAGGAGGCTGGTGCTACAACCACGGGTATGGTATAGAGACGACGATAAATCCCAGAGAGCTGAGTGCCACGAGCCACCCACAAGAGGCCCCAGCTGATCCGACACTTCCGGAAACGAGTTCTTGCTGGAAGGCTGACTCAACAGCAGATCTACTTTTGCCAGGTGCCTTCTTTTCTTTGCCCTCCACCTCAGGCACATGTCGAAACGCCAAACGCTGCACTTCGCCACAGATCAAACTGTCCCGTGAGCGCTGAGTAATGATAGCAATCGTAGTACTACTGATATAGCAGTTTTAGCAGTGGCAGTAGTAGTGGCAGTAGTAGAATCTACTAGTAGTAGTAGCAGTAGAAGACTCTACTGAGTGATAGTAGTGGTAGTGGTAGTAGTAGTAGTAGTAGTAGTAGTAGTAGTTGTTGTTGTTGTTGTAGTAGTAGTAATAGTAGCAGTAGCAGAAGTAGTAGTAGTAGTAGTAGTCGTCGTCGTCGTCGTTGTCGTCGTCGTCGTCGTCGTCGCCCCCCCTACTAACGACCTTTCCTCAACACTGTTCAAGAGCACATCCTACTCGTTACTTGCCATACTTTCGTGATCCAATACCAACAATCGCTGTTGAGGGGTGAGGTTGGGGTGAGGGGGTGGGCATGATGACGAACTTTTTAAGAGCACATCCATTTTACTCGGTATTTACAATACGTGCATGATGGTGGTGGTGGTGATGATGATGATGATAATGCGTTTAGGCGCGAGTCGTTGGTAGCGGGTGGCTTGTGGTGGTGGTGGTAGCAGTAGCAGTAGTAGTAGTACTAGTAGTAGTAGTAGTAGTAGTAGTAGTAGTAGTAGTAGTAGTACTAGTAGTAGTAATTAGTAGTAGTAGTAGTAGTAGTAGTACTACTACTACTAATAATAATAATAATAGTAGTAGTTGTTGTTGTTTTAGTAGTAATAGTAGTACTAGTGGCAGTAGCAGCAGCTGTAGAAGTAGTAGTACTAGCAGCCAGTAGCAGTACAAGTGGCAGCGGCAGCAGCGGCAGCAGCAGCAGCAGCAGCAGCAGCAGCAGCAGCAGCGGCAGGTGGTCGTCGTAGTAGTAGTAGTAGTAGTAGTAGTAGTAGCAGCAGTAGGAGGAGGAGGAGGAGTAAGAGGAGGAGAGCAGCAGCAGCAACAGCAGAGCAACAGCAGATCTTATGTTTTGGGGACCGTTGTTTTGCCGTCACTTGTTTTCTTCAATCGCTTCCGATGTTGTCGAGAATCTTCGCCCGCTTGTAGACTTGTCTCCTGTGTTTCCCGAAAGAGGTTTCCAGTGTTTCTATTGACACACACAAAGTTTCCCAAGCTCTCAGTAATGCCTCATCACAAGCAGAAAACACGAGCACAACTAGCAAACGGACGCAAACAACAACAGCAGCAACAACAACAGCAACAACAGCAGCAACAGCAACATCAGCAACCACAGCAACAACAGCAACAACAGCAACAACAGCACCAACAGCAACAACAGCAACAACAACGACGCCTCAGTGTGTTGTTGCAGACCCTATCACGGTTCCGCATGGATGCGCTGCGGCAGCGGATGGGGTCGAAGTGGACGTTGGTTAGGAAAGTGCATGTGTCGGAACCACAGTAAAAATCGATGCATTCTGCATGGCACCCAGCGAATCGTGTTTCGGCATGTGACTCGGCGAAAACACTGCAAACACCAGTATCACTGGCACTTCTGGTTTGCACGGGGACGATTCTGGAGGCAACGCCAACAGCATGACCAGCACCAACACTAGCACCAACTCTTGTGCTGTGGTTATTGTTGCTTGAAAATAATGAGTACAGACAATCCGCAGGTAGGGCTATTTCAAGTCGCAGTACCGCGCTTGAAGAGGTGCGAATGTAGTGGTGCATGCAGCCAATCTTTTGAACATCGCAGCTGTGGGACAGGCTATCTTTGGAAGCTCGTCTTGAAGAACTAGGCTTCAATCCCACGGCACTGTGCCATGATGATGCAGTGGTGCTGTGTAGCAGTGTAGCAGGCGAGGACGTGGGCCATTTTCGCGAGATGCTTCATCATCTTCAGCAGTCGGAGGCAGTCATCCTGCTCTGTTGAACTTGGGTGCAGTATTGGCAGCAGCCCAAGGCCATGAAACCGGGGCCTGCCTCTGAGTCTACTTCCTTGTGTTCACTTGATGTCGTATCACATGGAGGCTTTGTTGCAAATGTGGCCAGCGGCCGCATATGCAGCAGTACTGGGACATGAATGAGGTCTGGCGCCACAGCGGATGATCCATCCCACCGAGCCCAGCAACAGCGTCTTTGGTGGCAGCAACGGTACTTTCAGAAGCTGTCCACCTCAGGCCAGGCGGTGGCTTGTCAATTCTTGCATCGTTTGCCCGAGGCTTTCTCTTCTTCTACAGAGACTTCAGAAGTGGAACGAAGAGGCCCGCGTCGAGTTCCGAATGAGCATGGGTACGGAGACGCTGCGCTGCAGGTGAAGAGCATAGACCTGGAGCAACTCTTCGAGGCAGCTCTGCGAGCTCTGCGAGCTCTGCCCCGACCCCGCCGCCTCTGCCAGGTGTCTGCAATCGACATTCGTATTGAGAAGACGAAGACCGAATCCGCACAAGTTCGGTGCAAAGCATTCTCTAGTCATCTAGTTCTATGTGCATATGCAAGACTCAAAAAGGCCGTGGCAGTTGCGTGTCGAGGCCACGAAGAAGGTTGAAGAGTGCCAGCAACAGCCGCACCCTTGCAATTCGTCATGTTCCATGCCAGCGCATGATTGCTTCATGACCTGTTGCACTGGCGATCCGAGAGCAGTGCCGGGACCAAGGCTGTTGGAGGCCAAAGATGAGAATCAGGTGATGCCCCTGCAGAGAAGAGAGCAGAAAGAACTGCACCAGTTATGTCTTCGGCCAGGGCCTTCGTGAGGAGAAGGTCGCGGCCTCAGCAAAGACTATTGAGTAGATGCTTGTAAAGAGCCGCCAGTGCCTTCCGTCGATGTCTTTGCGACAGCACTCGATCTCGACAGAACAGAAACACTGAAACCCCACCGGGGTCACTCAAATCGGTCTGGTTGCAGTGCCGGTCCACTCCGCAGAAGCCTGTCGACCAAGGGGCAGTGCTTCTGCCTGCCCAAAGATGCCATAGCCTCACGTGCCCCTAGAAAGACGACTGGCAACAGCATTTCAGCCACGAACCTGGCCCTACCAAAGCTCCTGCACTTTTGGGACGCCAGCCGCTGCGAGGCCATAGCAGAATTCGTTACTGATGGACGATGCGTGTGCGGGCTCGCGTGCTGGCACCACTGGGTTTCTTGCACTTCTGTCAGTTTTCTGCCCCGGCAGCGTTGAGTGACAATTTTGCGGCTGTAGTTTCGTGTTTTCAGGTGCTTGTCCGAGGCGACTGCCTGTTTCTGATGCTTCTGATGCCACCCGTCATGGCCAAAGACAGCCAAAGATCGCCAGCAAGATGCAGATATGAGACGAATTGAAGGGTGTACCATTCATTTCCTTCCTGACGCATCGGCCCGGGCCAAGCATTTGGAAAGAGACGGCTTGCTTGTGCTGGCGTGGGCAGAGGTACGGCCGTAGTACGGCCAGTGCATGAAACTGCATCACCGGTCTGTCCAGGCGTGTGTTGCAGGTGTTGCAGTCGAGCAACAGTATATGCTCGTTCCTGGAATTTACAATTAGGATCCATCCCGCCCACCGTCCCAGAGTGCGCCGAATGTTGCTATTTTGTCATTGGTCTGGACAGCGCGCCGCTGAGTCATTCAGGATGCCAGTGCATCCCGCTTCAAGTTGTGACGTCTCTGTGTGATGCATCGCATTCCCGTCACATCGTGCGCAAGGGTTCTTGCTTCGAGTCGAGGTGTTCAGGTTTCGTTGCTCCTAGCATGACATGATAAACATCCCAGTTTGGGGCTTACTGCGAGATTCATGGTCATATTATGCTACTTGCGACCGCTCGCATCCCACAAGGGTTTCCAGATCTCTCACACAGCTCAGGGTTAGATGACGGACCTCTGGAAGTGAAAGTCACAGCAAGAGACTCTTCAGGATCCCTGATTCCTTCCGTCTGAGGTCGAAGTGCAGACTTTGCTGGCAACATCTAAAGAGCTGGCACGGTGCGCCCGTGTGTGCTCACAGACTTTATCTGGGTTTGGTCAAGGGAATTTCTGGAACACCCCGCAAGATTATGACACTGTCGTTTTTTTCACAGGGCCGTGTCCATCAAGAAGAAGGCTGTTCAGGACCTCTGCATCTTGGTGCTGAGGTCCTTTCTATTGCATGGGGTCGCATGCCAGGAAGTGAGAAAGCTTTCCAAGCTCAGTGCAGAGGCGCGCAACAGTGTGCTTCAGGTGCATGGCATCAGAAACTCTAGACCTGCAGCAAGGAGACACAGCAGCTTGTCGATGAAGAGCTCGCAAGCGTGGAGCTTTCCACTTCAAGGTGCTCATGTGGAACCTGTAGCCGAAGCCTGCGCCCACCTGACATCGCCGGCATTTGACCAGGACAGAGAAGGGTGACCTAGCGGATGACGGTGGGAAGTGCATGAGTGCATGAAATGTCGCATCTTTCCACTTTTGACCCCATTGCCTCTGATGCGCCGATGCCAGGCGAAGTTGCTGCCAGGGACTTGCCAGCTCGAGGAAGGCGCGGCAGGAGGCTCTCCACTTCAAAAACTACGACTTCTCAAGCAGAATCAGCAGAAGCTCGTTCTGGCACCGACGCAGATCTCAGCGAAGAGGTCCAAGGGAATGGAAGCCCGACCCGACCCACCGGTTCGCGACGGACGGGGCCTTCCAAAGCGAGAGCGGCGAAAGCGGTGAAAGCGGCGCCGGCGCAGGCCGCCCAGGTCGCCCTGGCCCAGGCTGATGCCGGCCAGGCGCAAGCGGCGCAAGGAAGAGCTACGGCAGCTGCGGATGGCAAAGATGGCAAAGTGCGGGGAGAGCGGGCTGGAGCGGCGAACTTCGAGACAGAGCCTGCAGAAAGGGTCCATCCAGCTTTGGTTTCGCTTCCCTCGCTGTTTCGATCCGCTTCCGCGCAATCTGAGATGGCAGGCAGTCACGTCAGCACCATCCGCTCAGGCGCGATGCTTCGTCTCAAGCTTGGTGCCCATCATGGCTGTCCATCTGTGCTTTTAAAGTTTAAAGGGCTGCCGCTTTGTTCTGTTCACATGGAGATGACAGCATGCTCAGGGGGTCGAAGGATTGTTGGCGAGGAATGTTTGGGCATGGCGCAGTCCTTCTGAGACGCACTCTGGCAGTATGACAGGAGAGAAGTGACTCTGCGGCTGCAGGAGTGCATTTGGCTGTTGCTCGTTGCATCTGCGGATGTGATCCGCCTGCTTGAGACTTCCTCATGCAGGACGAGCGAGATCGAAGATGAAAGCTTCCGGCGACGACCCGAGTGACAAGAAGCTGAAGGCGGCTAACTTGGAAAGCAGTGAGCCAAGGTGATGAGATCATTGTGGGTTGTTCTTGATGACCTGGCATTGGAATACTGAGATCGGTCGGTGGCACGCAAACTAAATCAAAGACAACAGGACGCTCCTGAGAGAGCAGCACGTATGTTTCTTTAGACGAGTTGCCAACAAAGCGGAAACGGGGTGGTAGCGGCAAGAAGCTGCAGGAGTTGGAGAAGCTCGCGAAGCAGGCTCTAGGCCATTCCCAACTGCAGGGTAAAGCAGTTGTTGCACTTGATCTGAAGTCGATTCAGGGCGCAAGGCCACTGTGCCTCGAAAGCAAGACACTGACACTGAAGCAGGCCTTTGCGCCACAACACGTTATCCACGCTGGGTGCCTGTGCATGCTGCTGAGGCTGGGAAAAGAAGATCCACGGTATGCAGGTCAGCATCAGGCACCAAGATGCTCTGCGCAGGGTCGAGCTTGACCGAAGTTCTGCTTCTCTTGAGGAATGGGGCGAAAATGGCGGACTTTTGGGAGGAGCGGCTGGGAGTTTGGCATGAGGAGGCAAGGCGATCCACTTAATGATAGTGCAAAACAGACGGAAAGCAGCAGAGAGATGAAGGCGGGCAGAGGGAGAGGGAGAGCCAGAGGTATGACCACGCGCGAACATACGAGTGGATCACGACGTGCCGCAGAAGGGTGAGCTTAGGGAGCCCGGCGGGGGCGAGAGAGACGAGGCCCGCAAGACCGAGGCCGCGGCCGAGGGGGGGCGGCGAAGTGCGAAGCGCCGAAGCTCGAGAAAGAAGGCACATAAGTGCCACAGAAAGTAGCGGCTCAAAGGGCTACCAGCCCCGAGCAAGTTGCAGACCCCTGGCAAAGAGAGTGGGCAGCCGTCCTCAAGAAATTAAATTCCCAAAAGACGGTGTTTCCCAGAAGAGTTGCTTGGCAGGCTTGAAGTGTGTTCCAGTTCCTGCGTGAGGGGATTGGCAGTTTGGTACCATCATTTGCAGTGTTGCACGGAGCTACCCATGGCGCCGGCGACAAACACGCAACATGTTGTGACAGAAATCGGACTGTGAATGGCCTTGAGACGATCACCCAGGGACTTGTTCTGTAGAGCTGCACAAAGCTCGGTTGACAAACAACTATACCAGCGGTCAACCCCAAAAGGCCGCAAACCCCCACGAGCCTGCAGCGAAGGGCCGAGAATGTGGCAGAAGAAAGCACCGCCCAACGCCCCAATTTCTTCAAAGTATTCAAAAACAGTTTGCTTTTATAGTATTCTAGAGCAGACAGGACGGGTGCATGTGAGGTTCTTGCCCTAGGTTTGGGTTGAGTGCTGCGGGCTTGATTAGGGCTTAGGATATGTGCCCTTTGCAAGATTGGGGCTTGTGGTGAAACGAATCCAACATGTTGGAGGGCTCGATATGAGGGTGCTTGGGTCTGGAAGGCAATTATAATTGCTGTTTGTATTCCTTTCGTAGCATGAGGTTCTCGGAGAGACTTGAAAACTGGATCTCGTTGTTTGCAGGCTTGGATTTGCTTGGTGCATAGCTGAATCCAGATATGATATAATTATTTCAGCACTGTTGTCAAGCTTGGGTACGATTGCCGGAAACCAGAGGAGCCTGGTTTGATTGTGTCATCTTGGTTGACCGTCGTGCATCGTGCATGAGCCAATTACTGTCAATCAACATGTATGCTTTTGGGGCTTGGGGCCCACCGGATGTCGACCAGATAACTTCAGTGTGAATCGTTTTAAGCCTTGGGTTCGCTTCCTTCCCTTGCATCATTATGTGTCGCTTGTTTGACTTAGCCTGCCTTTCCGTCGATAGATCCGGAAGTTGGGCATATGCCGCGATTAGACCAGCAAGGGACAACCGGAACAGCTGCAGCAGCAGCAGCAGCGTGTGAAGAAGCCCGAAGTTGTTGGCTGCTGGTCTCCGCCGATGAAGGGAAACACTATTCCGCGGCAACAGGTAGAAGCTCGTTGCGGGGAGGAGGTCTTGCTTGAGCTCCAGCGGCTGTCAGAGGCCTCTGTGAAGCTAGCGAGTCAGTGAGCACACATGGCAGACGGGGAGACGCATGTTTTCTGACCAGTTGAAGCCCCCGGAGCGAGATGCCGAAAGCCCAGCTTGGATTGAATCTAATGCCCTTGGATTCATTATGTTGTGGGCTGAGTTGATGCCTTTGCAGATGGCACTGCTCAGGCCCCCTTGCATGTGTCACAAAAATGCGCCAAGAGGGCAAGAACCGTTCCGCTGAGTTGAGTTTATTGCACAATCGCAGGCGTGCAAGGACGGACATGCAGAATGTGGACAGGGTGCAGCAGGCGTGACATGCTTCTTGCTGGTACACTGCTAGTGCAAGACCTGCCAGGCTGGAACAGATCTCAAGCAGCGCTTTGCTGCGGCAGTGGAGCCAGCAGCCATGTCAATAGGGTTGTCTGACAGCGCATGTTGCAGAGGTTGCTAGAGCGCCGTATACTGTTATCAAGGCATGGAGATGTGAACCTCAAGGATCTTCAACAGTCAGCAGCTCAAAAGCGAACTAAGATGTTCCCGCACTTCACCTGACAACCGATGTCTGTTTACGCATCGGCTGGCAGAGAAGGGTGAAGACATCTGATTGGCTCAGGGAAGTGTCCAACATGATGAAGCGGCTCTCGGTGTAAGCCTTGGCTGCCTTGGCTGCCTTAGCTGGGGACAGCAAGCACAGGCCATCGAAATTCAGCATAAGTTTCCTGAGGCGGACTTGTCACTGGGTCCTCCAGGCCTTGCTCTGACTGCAACCGCAGTATCTGCTGGGACAGCTGGTGCTACCAGGCGTGCTGGTGAAACGAACATGCTCGGTGAAAGCCGTCGAATGATAAACTGTCGAGTGCAGGTCCCCTGCAGGGCGTGTCGGCGAAGGTGCAGCCGACGCTACCACTGCGCGCAGGCTACGAGACCTCACGAGCTTCCGTGAACTGCATGGCTTTTCGGCGCGATACAAGGTCAGTCCACAAGTCCATGAAGAGCCGGAAGACGGCCGTAGAGGCTCCTTTTCACTGGTGTCTTCATGTGCGTGCATCCCTGCCCCCTGCATCCTTTGAGGCAGCTCGGGAGGCTTTACGCCAACGTATGGCAGGCGCGCATGTCCTGACCTAAGACCGGCTCGCGGCTCGCGGCTCGTCCCGCAAAGCTGTCTGCAAGCTGAACTGAGGCAGCAAGAGGGCCGGAGTCTCGGCGAGTCTGTCTAGAAGGCCACCAAACTCCGTCTTTTTCTTCCGAGGCAGAGTCGAGGCCTAGACCGGGGAAGAGGAGTTAGAAACGGCTTTTGGAAGATTTGGAGTGTTTTGACACTGCGCAGGTCCTCAAGCGAGCTTTTTCGCATCAAGCCAAGGGGTGAAGACGATGCCCCTGACAGATGTCAAGGATCTGGGTTCCAGGCGCCGCATTGTCATTACGGGTGGCCGTTGTTGCTCTCGGTGGTAGCGCGGCGGGCATGTCCGAACATGTGGGGAGCTTACCCAGTCGCCAACATACCTGATAGGAGGAGTCTGCACGCGATGCGACAGCAGCTGGGCGTCAGGCGGACTCTCGTCGCCGACGAGGCTGGTAGAGGCTGTGCTGTCTTTGGGTATCCTTTTTGCCTTTGCAAACCGCCTTCCGTCCGGAGGGCCTGATGTGCCGTTCAACAGCCGCAAGTGCGTACTGCCAGCAAGTTCTTGGAGTCTGGCTTCAGCCGAACTTCAAGTTGGTTGAGCAGTGACTTCAATACGCTTTTCTGCTGGGTGCAACCCATCGATCTCCACAGCCATGGGCTTAAGTATGTCGCTGACGGGTACGAGCAGGGATTGAGGTTCTCCTTCTGATACAGGTGCGGAAATGTCAGACGGTAACGTATGGAGAAGCGTATTACCCGAAATCGAGCAAGTCTCCAGCTGTGCCGGTGCTGGCATGCTGCGATTGGACTTCCACTCACGCGGACTGCTTGTGACAGGCCGTCTCTGACCATTATCACGATGTCACCAGGGCGTGTGCGTCCTTGCGTCAGGCGACACGTACTCGGCGCGAACAGTGCTCAAGGTGCTTGCAGAGCACGGACAAGCGCGGAGCAGCTGAAGTGTGACTTTTGCGAGGCAGAGGGCCGCTGGGATGCAGGGCTGAAGGGATGGCTGCTGCCTTTCGAAGGTAAAGAGCAGCGAGCCAAGCTTCGCAAAGACTTTGCAGGTTTGGTTGCTTTTTTTCCACATTTCCAATCTTTGGAGGTTTGTGGTACTCAGGAAGTTGCTACAGGCCTTGAAAACCACGTCGCCCTTGAAGGTGGAGGATCATGCCAAGGCGACTTGTGCATTTCGACCAGTCTGCAGTTTAGTTGCAGTGCAAGTCGACCTGTTTCGAACTTGATGCATGCCTTTCGAAATCTCTCGACGGCGCAATCCTGAATCCTGAAAGGTTCAGGCTGACAAGTAGTCGCTGGCCACTAATCCATATCTTGCCACACCCCACTGCAGCAAGCATGTCTCGGCCAAATCGTCGTGCCGCTCGTCTGCGGCGGCCTAAGTTTCTTCCGGAAATTCAGATTGGAGCGGTGGGGAGCCACCTTTGCACTGCCTCGCGAATGTGAGATAAGGTCCGCGCATTTAGTTCCTCGTCTTTGCAAAGACTCATTTGGGGCCTGTGGCTGCAACTCTCCAAGGCAGCGTCAGCAAGGCAGCTTGGTTCCTCGTATCTGCCGCAATGATCCAGCCACAGGATACAGCTGGAGAGATGTTCACGATGATCTTGAGGCTGGCGTATACGCAGGATGCTATGGTTGGGACCATGCTGCCTACTGGGGCATCGCTGAGGCCAAGGCGGGCGTCGACTTGAAAGAATGGTACAAGACACGAACAGAGGCCGAGTTCTACCTGCCAGAGTTCAAGGAACTGATTGACGACCCCGCCACTCATAAAGACTGGGATCGAATCTCGACCTTTGACCCTTTGGGCATGACAGCACATCCTCCGACCATTGCAGCATGCAAAGCCAAGCTGGATATCCCGGAGCTGAAGGACCGATCCGTGTAGGAGCCTTTGCTGAGAGGTTGCATTGTTCAGTATCAGTCGGTGTTGGTGGGTTTGGGTGAGGAAGCTCAACCCCTGAGGACTTGCGGATGGACGGCGAAATCGTTTTGCCTTCGAACGAGATCGTCACATCAAAGTGTGCTATCAGCTATGCCTGGAACATTCCGCTCATGGCGGAAAGGGTGGGCCTAAGTGAGCAAGAGCTGCGGGAGGCGTTGCACAAGTTCTCCCACGACAGCCGGCTGCTGGACCCCAAGGTGAAGACCTACCTTCCAGCTGTCGGAGGGCTCACAATCTACACTTTTGGTGATGCACGGAAGCTCAAAGATGAACGGACCGAAGTGTGCGTGCGTGTTCACGATGAGTGCATCGGCTCGGATGTCTTCGGAAGCGATATTTGCAGCTGTCGGCCGTACCTGATCTTTGCTTTGAGGGAGGCTGTGGAGTGTGCCCAGAGGGGCGGTGTCGGTGTGGTGGTTTACTTCAGGAAGGAGGGACGAAGCCTGGGCGAGGTCATCAAGTTCCGAGTCTACAATGCCCGAGTGAATCAAGAGGGAGGGGATCGGCCCGAGATGTACTTCCACCACACCGAACAAATTGCCGGCATCCGAGATGCCCGCTTCCAGACAATGATGCCAGATGCCCTGAATTGGATGGGGATCCGACGTATCGATCTTCTCTGTTCGATGAGCAATGAGAAGTACGAGGCAATCACAGGCGCCGGCATCCAGGTCATGAAGAGAGTAGACCTTCCCGAAAACTACATCAAAGACAGCATGCGGGTCGAGCTTGATGCCAAGATTGCAAGTGGATATCATTCTGACAAAGTGGAGGAGGAACAGGTTGCGGTCAGTAGCCCAAGATGAGGGGATGTACAGGCACTCTCATGTCCCCGGACTTCACTCCCCCTGTATTTGTCTGGCTGCTTTGAAGGAGCATCTTCCGGCCAGCTTGTCGCTTGAGGCGCTTACTTGAAGCGCCTTAACGCGGCAGTTCTCACCCGCTTTGAAACGTGAGACGTGAGAGCGAGGGCTCCTCACGATTAAGTGTTTTTTTGCGAAAGTCGCCCATGCCAAGAACAGCAGCACAAGGGCATCGCAAAGGAGATCCATGCGAGTTTTCGGACCCTCCACTCTCCATGCCTGAACAACATCGGATGTGAGGCACGTCTGGTCATCGGAGTGTCCGACCATGCTCCAACCGTCAGAGGTGCGAGTCAGGGTGCGATGAGGCGTCATGTGCTTCGGGGAGAGCAGGCGAAACATTCCCCGTCAAGGCCGCTCTTGGCAAATGCTTGCAGCAACTGTCTTGCCAGCATGAACTTCTTTCCTGCGCAGGCATTCCTGCGACGTGAGGGTGGATTGTGGGCCGTCTGCTGAGTGCAACCAAGCTGGTGACCATGATGTTTCGAGCCATCGGCCAGGATCCAAAGGTCAAATCATGGATCTTCTCGAACCACACTCCTGCACAGCTTAGACAGGCAGAAGCGTCAAAAGGGCAGTCTTGTGCTACTGTCGAGTTGGAGTGTTGGAGACGATCTGGCCTGCTTCATGCTGCAGTCCATGCAGGCCCTTAGCTCCTGTGCCGACGTTGGCACGGTGGAGATGCAGAAAGCTTCGCCCAGCCCAAGATGTTCTCTTGTTGTTCTAGAGGCCGGAGGAGCTGTGAATGCTGGCACCGACTCATTGCCGAAGCGTGTCATTGACGTTCTTATTCGTATGTTGTAACTAGTACCTCCCTCATGTCTGATCGTGGGTGCAAGCATTGAGGAGGCTGGGAAGTTGACTTGAGGTTAAGAGACTCGGATCTTCCCACATCGCATCCTCTTTCTGCGAGGCCCCGAAGCTCGGCACGGTGAAGGCCTCTCTTTCCCTCGACGAGTATCAGACAGCTTCACCTTGCTCCAGGCTGCATCGCCTGATCCCCCACTTCGTAAGGAGCGCTCACAGCCGTCTCTCGCCCTTTTGCTCTCTCTTCAGTCCTGTCTTTGTGTCCGTTCTCTCCAACCAGACGCTGGCTTGGCAAACGCCCGGGTATGAACGAGTTTCTGCACCACTAGCACCACTAGCACCACTACTACTACTACTACTACTACTACTACTAGTACCACTACCACCACCACTATCACTGCCACTACCACTACCACTTCCACCACCACTACCAACACCAGTACTACTACTACTACTACTACTACTACTACTACTACTACTAACCACCAACCGCAACCACTGAACGCAACGACTGCCGCCTGACTACTTACTACTTCCAACGACTACGAGATACTAACAACGAAGTACGACTACGACAACGACTATTCCGAATTCCTACCATCGCCACTACGATTTTGCTAAACCGCTTCTGCTCTATCACTGCCACTGCATACCCCTACTACTAACAAAACCAGTACGACGACGACCACGACGACTATCACTGCGCCACCATCTCTACAACAACAGCAATCACTACAAAAACAGTGTAAAGCTTCTACGGCTCCGACGGCGACCATGGACTGCTGAACCGTCCTCCAAGTCAGTCCTCAAATCCTTTCTCTGCCTTCGACCATTCGGAGACGGAGAACACTTCTCCACAGAAGTGTAAACATAGTATGTTATATCTATACACGACGGGACTCTAAGACCTTGAACTTCCTCGCTCTTACCTGTGCGGCCCTACGGCCGCAGGTCTCATTGGTGTACCCCAACTTCCCAAAGAAGAAGTCGAAGGGATTCACATCCAAGTCATCATTGAGCCAAGGTGTCCAGACCTCACGAGCGTCTCACCTCCCACAAAGGGGCATCGGGCCTGCCACATGAGGCGGCGGCCCGAGATATGTTGGATGCACCGGGTAAACCAAGGGTTGGTGCATGGGTGTGGGAATGGGCGGTCGAAATGGCATGGGGCTGTAAGCCATTGGGAACTGGGGCAGCGGTTCGAGATCGAGCATAGATTCGTTCCCATCCAAGTAGCCCTGTAGGAGCTTCCGGACGTAGGAGCTCTTGTTAGCTTCGGCCTGGAGCTCTTCATGGGCTTTGTCTGGGTTTAGCTCCATCTGCTGCAGAAGTTTCTGCACCACGGTCTTGTACTTGTCGCGTGTCTGCTTCCTGGGTCGCTGGATCGCTTTGACCTTGTCAAGGTTGATATGATTTCCCAAGTGGCAAAAGCGACATGCAGTGCCCTTCGAGCAGCCCCTGGACGAGTTGAAAAAGACACACGGATCACAGGTGCCGTTTTTGTGATCTGCGCTGACATTGGCGTTGTCCATCTTGTCTGTGAACACGGGAGGATTCGGCGGAGGGGGCGGCGGGTAGCGAAGATCTGGCTTTTGGAGTGCCCAAGGTGCGACGGCCGAGACAGGAGCGACTGCTACATGAGCTGTGGCCCTGGACACCAGGTTTCCGACAGGTACTTGTAAGGCAGGCTCCGGATGTAAGGCAGGCTCGGGATCTAGCTCCCGTAGCTGCTCTGCAACATCCTCAGCCAAGGCCTCGAACCATCCTGATGATTGCGAGGAAGACCGGGAGGTCGCCGACTCGCCGTCTGCTTGTCGGCCCCTCTGCGCTGATAGTGCCATGCTACCTGAAAAACCCCCGCAAATCAAAGCCTTCAGTACGACCGACAGGCCACATGCGGGCTTGAGCCACAGGTTTGCGTCGTCGGCTCGGTGCTGACTTCCTCCTTTTTCACGTGAAACTTTTCTTTCAATGCGGGATTCAGACTAATTACATGCTTCTGCACATCCGGCAGTGAGCGCTAATAAAGGAAGCACCTTGTAGCCATTCTGGCAGAGCGACTGGCGAATGATGTTCGCCGTGAACACCGGAGTTCTGGCGAGAAGGGTCAGAAGATTGATTCGGAAAAACTCCATCATAGTTAACATTGACAGCCTCTCCATACCTACACATGCAAACAAGAACACACACACACACACAGACCTAGAACTATACCCTGCAGTAGAACTCTTAGCGTCCCTGAGGCTCTCCCAAGCGAAACCTTCCAGGGCCGGCGAGGACAGCGCCACCGAAGCCCCGGACACGACAGTCCTTTTTTGAGAGGGGGAGGGTGTACCTAGACCCCAAGCGACCTACCTGTTCTGTTTTGATTTCCTTATTTAAGTCCATAAGAAGGCAAGTTCTTTAGGGTTCAAAGGGTTATGCTCCCACAACTCGGAGGAGCCAGATTCTCAGATGAGGTCTCAGGGCCGACTGAGGGTTGACGGGCTATGGGCTTCTCTTGCTACCTTTGGAGCTTCAGAGTTTCAGGATTTGGGGCTCCGAGGTTTCTGAGTTTAGAGCCACCATCAAGGCCTAAAGGAGTTGCTTAGGACGAAGGCTTCAGGGCTCGGACGCCCCATTCGAGACTTCAGCATCTCGGTACCGGCCAGAACAAGGCTCCGCGTGACTTTCAGAATCAATCGCCAAAACCCTACCCCCCGAAACATCCCAGGAACGGAGACCACCTGCAAACTCCTAAATCTCCAAGCCTAAACCGCTGAAGCACAGGAATCGAGGAGTGCACAGAGCCAACATCCTCTACCCCGAAACTGAAATCGGATGGACTTTCAACCCCGGATGCGACACATCGAGGAGGGGCAGTGCCATTTCGATCCTAAGCAGCTGCAGCCACGAGACACGGAAACAGGCACCTCGGCTCGCGAGGATTTACCATGTGGCGCTTGCCTGCTTCAAGCTCAGACAAGAATGCTGATCAGCATGGTTGACAGAATCGCTTTGTTCCGCTACACACACGCCTGGTCGGGCATCCGCAGCAAGCTATGCCAGATGTATGCTCGTGGAAAGTGCTTCTGACGCAGGCCCCCATACTCGCAAATTCACTTGGACACAGTTGCAAGCCCACACCCTGAAAAACGGATAGTTCGAGGCCAGTTGCCTTCCACAGCGACCGCCATGTGCGAAGTGTGGACGGATGAGGGGCAATTGAGCAGCTGATGCTTCTGCAGATCATTGCTGACTGGTTCACGAGCATCTGAGTCTTAAACATCACTCTACCCCGCACTGCATGAGGGGACGTTACGGATGATTCAGGTTCATGTGTTTCTGCTTGGAGCGAGAGAGAGAAAGCACAAAGACAGAGCCCTGGGCAGAAAACAGGCAAGACCTGGAAAGGGCTGGAGATAAAACGAGGACAAGTTCAGACGGAAAGTAAAGAGACGGAGAGGGAGTCATATAGCAATCAGTAACTATCGCGAGAGAGGCAGCGGGCCAGAGCAAAGCAAAGAGAGAGAGAGAGAGAGTGAGAGCGAGAGACAGAGCCAGGGGGAGTAAAGGGAAGGAGGGAGCAGGTGAGGCACACAGAGATGCTTGGAAAATTCATCAGCATGTACACGTGCTACACAAAGCCGCCAACTGTGGCACGCAAGGCACTTCAGAGTGCATGTTTTCGCCGACATATTTCATGTACATTTCTGCGTTCAATCATCTGGGCTCGCAGCATGTGCCAAACGATGCAGCGCAGTCACCTCAGAATCGGTAACAAATGGACAGAAATCCATGGAGGCATTGCTACAATTAACCTGGATGCCTCGGCGAGCGTGCGCGGTGTGTGAAAAACAACGCCATCGATACCTGCAGATTTGCGTCTTGAGGAGCAACACTTCCCCACCGACAGGATGCATGCCCTAGCCATGCCGAAAGTGCATCAGTGCTCCGCAAGATAACTGCCACATACAGCTAAAGATGGGCCCCTAGCTGTGTTGACCATGTTCAAGCCGCCGCCACCTCCGGCCTCAAGAAATAGCGCACTCCTGCTATTGGTCTGTCCAGCGGAGATGATTGGCATGGTGGTACAGTGTTTATGGTTATGGTCCAGTTATGGTGACGAATGTGTTTGTTGCCGTGCTTGCCGTCCTTGGGCTTTGTCTTTCTTGCTGCTGCCCTAAACCCCTAGTAATCCTAACAACGCCAACCTGCCGACTGTGAAACCTCGCCTGGCTTCTCTGAGTTGCGAGAGCGTAAACCCTTGAAAACCATGATGGGGATCAGGCTTCCTGCTGCCTACGGTTAGCAATGCTCTCGGCTTTCGCTTAAAAAAATCCCAAGGCTGGGAGCAGGGGGGCCCCACGAAAGTCCCTTAAAACAGCTAGGGTTTAGGGTTCAGGGGAGTTTGGGCTAAACTTGATATGATTCATTCTGAAATCAGCCCACCTTGAAGAGCTTCTTGTTCCTGAGCCCTGAAAGGACCACAATGCTACCGGCCAAAGCGTGGCCGTAGATGTAGAAGCATCAAACACAACGACTCTATGGAACATGAATATCCTTCGTTTTGGCAGCGGCTAGTAGCCACGATGACTCTCGTGTCATCCCTGAAGAAGTGAAAATTCGGCTGGGACAACTTTATGCGAGAGAGGAGGGCGCGGGTATGACCGAAGCTGGAGGTAGTCTTGACTGGCGAGAACCTCGCATCATCGGCCCTCCTCCCCCCGACTGCTGTCTCCACACTCCGTGCACGAGAGTGAAGCAGCAAGTTGCTGCGCCGAACTCAGTGGGCCAGAATCGGACCACAGATCTCAAGCTCTCAGCAGTTGCCCTTAGCAGAATCCGTCAGCTCCCCAGGACCTGAGAAGTCAAATGACCTTACTACAATTGACGAGGGGGCTATGGGTAGCATCTTGCACGCGTTGACGTGTCTAGCAGGTGAGTTGGGGAATTCAGCTCGAAGGCCGCCGCAGGGCGGAATGCCTGCCAGCCTGTCTGGACTCTTGACTGAACTACCATGCCTAACTCTTCATCTGCAATCATCGACGCTCATGCCCAACTTCTAAATTATGATCTCGATCATTGGTGTGAAGATGTGCAGAAGTATCACTGCACTGCTTCACAGTCATCATCAAGCCATGACTACCGGCATCATTACTGTGTTGGAGCTGCTATGATGCTTATAGCCATAGCTATGTCCCTATTGCCATCGTTGTCGTCATGCTATTTCAACTACGGGACCCTGGGCATCGTGTGCAAAAGAAACACGAGCCATCAACTTCACTATTCCTGCACTCCCTATGATTCTACGCACACTTCTAAGCACTTCAGAAAAGCCTTAGCATCATGAATATACATGTATGATAATTCCAGGGAGAGCAATACTTATATACCGAGCATTACATTAGCATGTTATAGTATATTATAGCATAGTATAGTATGTTATAGTAGTATATTATAGTATTTATAATATGTCCCATCGTCTGTTGGAGGCCAGAGGCCTGCTCAGCTCCCCTCAAGCGCGGTGACGGCATCCTGCACCTCCTTCTTCGCCTGAAGGATGCGCTGATGTCAGTGAGTCAAGTGAGCTTTTAGGGTTTCGGTTTTGGGTTTTTGGGTGTAGGGTAGGGTTTCGGTTTTGGGTTTTGGGTTTTTGGGTTTAGGGTAGGGTTTCGGTTTTGGGTTTTTGGGTTTAGGGTAGGGTTTCGGTTTTTTGACACTCACACTCGGACAAAGCCTGGCCAGGTCTGTAGCGATACTGGTCAGATGTCGAAGCAAGAGAGAACTCACAGTAGGTTTCACTGAGAAAGGGTTTAGGGATTAGGGGGCGTTTCGGGTTTCGGGTCCGTTTAGGGTTCAGTGCTGGCTGAAAGTTGATGTAGGGCCATCAGGGCTTAGGGTTCAGCGATAGGGATTTTCCCTGTGTGTCGTCCGTAGCCGGGGACATGCTAGTACATCTTCACGATGCCTGCCTTCCTGATACATGTGTGACCACTGTGACCACCTTGCGCTAACTGCAATATGCCGCACAACTCCCAGTCAGTCCACAAATCCGGAACTCTGGCCAAGCGGGCTGGAACCAGTTGAAGTTTCGGTTTCCGAGCACTCTGCGGCGGTCTCTGTTTCCCGAAGCACGAACTCGCGTCAAAAAACGTCCTAACACTTGAAGGTCTCCATGTGCCACCTCATGCACATGGGTAGTTCTCTAAATTAGGCTCCCTGTTTGGGTCCTCAATATAGTACGGCACACTTATAAAAAGGACCCCCAAAGGGACCCTAATTTAGAAAGCTACCCACGTGCAAATTTGCGTAGCTCTAGAATATGCTTACAACCGATGCGAAAAAAACTGTTCCGTCAACGCTGAAGAATCCTGGTCGGCCTTGTACCATACCACCCATGTTTTGTATGCAGCCTCTACACCGTGCAATCGCTTTGCAGTCTCATCCCGAAACGACAGGCCTGCGGGCTCCTCACCTGACCATAGCCGCCAGCCGTCGATCCTTGTGCCCTGCGTGGGGCTGAGGAGGATTGGGGCTTACGGTTTTTATACCACCCGCCCAGTTGACCAAGTTGCACCGCAGAGATATTCGCACGAACCCAAGGAAAGAGAGAAGTGGGGCGCATCCCGGCGAAAACTCTACCCCTTCTGCAAAGACCGACAACAGCCAATTCACCACCAGGTCCGCTTCGGTCTGGAAAGCGCTTTCCGCTGGGCGAGGTTTATAGGGTCTATAGGGTGCAGGAGTTTAGTTGCGCTTAGGAGCTCCAGGCCACAGATTCCAGGCTTTGTGGTTTCCGGCTCCTTGGAGAGTCTATCGTAGAGCATCCCGGGCTGAGTCGTGCAAGCCCGGACTTAGTCCGAGCTCCAACATTCATCATGACGACCATGCAAGGCATGCCACGACAAGTGCGTTTGGCTTCGTCCTCGCATCTCCTTGGCCTATAACTAGCGCGAGTAGTAGGATGATCGCTGTAGGAGCCAGGGAAAGACCAGCAAAACCAAAATCATCACAGAAATCGCAGCTGTAGAACAAAATCCTTCGATGGCAAGGGCAGGTATAGTGTTGGCTTTCGGTGTGGAAACACTAGCAGCCAACAACAAGCAACATTACAAAGCCTAATGCAGCAACACCATGGGCTAGAATAGACCCCCATTGCTGACACAGGCCGACAGAAGGAACGCAATGACTAGTTAGAGTCAGAGTAGAATCCGCAGAACTGCTGGCAACAGCGGCAATTATCCAAGCAAGTGTGGGGCATTGGTTGCTGGATCTGTATACAGTTCTGACAATAATAGTTGCAACAATCCGCTTCTGAGCATGAAGCAAGGCGTAATTGAAACAAAATCACGAACTAGCAGTCAAAGTACTTGCAATTGAGCAACACTTTGTGATGAGATGTAGCTTAACGGCCACAGGGCAGCAGAAGTGCTAATCAGCAAACAGCGTCCTGGGTGGTCTCTTGGCTGCGGGGTCTGTCTCGATCTTGGCCAGGAGGCGATGGTAAGGCCTCTCGCTGTCGAGTTTGAGAATCCCGGTTTGAGGTTGGCGAGAGATGGCGCAGCAATCAAAGGCTTCGGGACATGTTTTCTGCAGCAGCAGGAATTGCCCCTTGTTTAGCGAGAGTGTCTGAGCCAATCTCGACACAGAGCGCAAGCACTGACATGTCAATCGAGTGATGGGCTTGCTTCATACATTTTGGGCACAGCGTGCTTCGGTCAGCTGCTCCAATGGCCAGAAACCCTGGATAAAATCCTACACTACACACTGACCCAAGGAAGGCTGCGTAAGTCCACGAAATCGAACAAGACTCGACCTGAACGCTTGTCCTTTCTGACTAGAGCACATGATCCGCTAGGTTTGGCAGGAAACCATGGCTCTACGATTCAGCACTAAGATACAGAGTCCATGGGCTCGGCGGTTTCGGGCGTCGGAATTTCGGGCTTCGAATTACCGGTTTGAGATCTGAATCTTCCAGCAAGGAGCATGATGCCCAGCTGACGGAAGCGCTTGATGTAGCGGACGGCTCGCCTTGCCCAGAAGTGTCATGTTCTACAGGCTCTGCTACAGCCTGACACAGCAGCTAATGGATGAGCAGCATTTGCACACACACACACACACATCCTCGCATCCCCAGCCGTGACAAGACAAGACGAACACATGCATATGGAGTTGAAGCCTTCGCAGCCGAAACCAGGACCCTTGAACCCCGAGAGAATGCTTCGAGCCACTTGTGGTCAGACATGCGGAGCTTCGTCAGCACCTGGCCACCGAGGCGATAGTGCCAAGGGAAGCCACTGTGTCAGTGTTGGTTGCACTCCAGCGGTGCAGTGTCTGGCGGTGAGGCTTGGGATAAATGAGCGGACGCCTGCCAGGTGTGGCCATGGGAGTAGCATGTTGTAGTAGTGCCGCAATATCATGTCAGCTTTCCAGCGCTGACCATGCACAAGCGCGATCACTCAGTAAACTCAAGGAACCTCCCTGCCCCAGAATCCCAACTCTTCCTTCTTCTCATTGCTGCGGCAGGCTGAGTTCACGGCACGTGGCTTGAGGCGGCCACTGGCATAGGTGTACTGCTTCAGCCTTCGATAAGGGGTGGGTTGCGATCAACATTTTAGAGTCGCTGCGAGCAGGACCTGCGGGGTACCGTAGCAGTTCGCTTGGGCTGTGTAGGATAGCGTGCGTTTGCCTTACAGGCCGCAGCCGCCCTAGAGCTCTTCTGATGGCTTCACGCCGCCGACAAACACCCATGCAGCGGTATAAGGCTTACAACAAATAAAGATCTATGTATCTTCCATCAGATAAATACATATTCACCTGCCACAAGATGAGAGAGGGCATCTCGGAATGTTAGCAGAGTACTTCACGGCCTGCTTGCGAATCCCTATCTGGCTATATACACTAAAGAATATGCTCTAGATACTATATACCATATATACATTCTGGGATGCTCTCAGTTATAGGCCTTACGAGACAAGGGAGAATGACATCACAAAGCAGAAACTGTCTGCAACAGCAGCAAATGTGAAAAGTATCCACGCAGGGCGTGTCATGCCGATGCAGCCTTTTCGGAGCTACGACATGCGACTAAGACACGCGGACACGTTCATCCAATTGCCGCCGAGCTGGTCCTTCAAGCATTCAGGACCAGCTGTCATGAGTACTCAGCCAAAACGTGCTTGTTGTGGGCGTGAGGATGTGGGCATGAGAGCGTCTGTGATCTGGTCGCATCCCACAGCGCAGCAAGTTTGAGGTCGCCAGCCGCTGAAATTTACATGCAATTCGATCTACAGTTCTGGCCAGGTCCTCCATCCACATGTTGATGCCACCATGACGCCAGCCGTCGTTGTAATAGGCTTTCTTGATCTCGGGAGACACACGGGCTCACTATTCGGCCTTCAGATCGCAGTGTAGGACATCGTCCTGTAGAACCGAAACTTGCCCCGTTGTGGATCGCCAAAGGCAGACAACTGCAACCGAGGCGATGGCGTGGCGGGAGGCCAGGGCGGTGAGAGGTTCCTCCGACTCACCCATCTTCTCGTAAGCCCCGGCCAGCCTCAGGCGGATTGACTTTGCGAATGCCCTATGTTGTACTCCATATAGGTGAGTCCAGGCTGGCGTACATGCCGAAAATCGCAGAACAACAAACAAAAACAAACAAACAAGGGGTTGCCGGAAAGCATCTTTTTTTATGCTGGAAAGTATCATTCCACACACAGGTCAACGCCGGCAACTTCATGAATGCAGATACTGCTAACTGCCGTTGGGCTGCACAGCTGGCTCTTCGGCAGCAGCTGCCTGACTCGTTCAAGACTGTGCCAAACCCTAACCCTCCAGGTACCTACTATATAGGGCCCCAGGGGCTCTAGTACCCTATATAGTAGGTACCTGGGGGGTTAGGGAAACACAACAACAAATCCAAAAGGGAGTACATGACCTCGAAGTCTGAATTAGCTCTCTCACATCTCTAAAGTACCGCCATATGATATCAATGACATCCTAGATTTTAACACAGACCTGAGTGCCGAGGCTGTTTCCAAAGCCACTCAGAGGTGACACGGGAATTATAGCTCGATTCACCGACCCGCCCCCCAAACCAAACTGCCTGGCCTCTCAAAGCCAGCAGCGGCAACGATAAACGAGGATAAGAACAATGCATATGAGTGCTGTTGACGAAGGAACCACCAGCTGAATTGCAGCATCGACCTAACGAACTTCCAGGAAATCATTGGTCAGCTAGTTTGCTCCGCAGACGTAGATGTCGCAAGATAGAAACCAAAACCATGTAAAACCGACAAGCTCACACTGACCGCCGAAAAAGCTGCCAGCAGATCCACCGGAACCATTCTCCGAGCCTCGGCCCCCAATCCGAAAACCTGATGGCAAAAGCCATGGTAAATACGGTAGGTCCGGCACTGCTCACTCTGAAAACCACAAACTACTGTCCTCGTCTTGCCTTGGGTCTCACGACTGCCCGTGGCAAAGCGAAGTCGGCTTCATCCTCGGATCGTGTCCTGGTCAGCTCTGCTTGGAAACACAACTTCCCTGAATGAAGTCGAATTGCACCCCAGCGCTCCATAGGCAGAGCGCAAAAGCTGCCAAGGCGAAAATGGGCAGAAGACCGCGGCTGCGAAGAGTCCTCGGCTGTGAATACTTGTGTGATGGCATCGATGCTGTTACTGGCCCCCTACTTCCGACAGCGGATGTTGCTAAATTACATGTGGCAATGCTGTTCTTGAGCCGCCACTACGGGGTCTTGCTGCTTATGCAAAACAGGCGACGACAATGTGCTCTGAGTCTTCACTGCCACTGCGCAAGCGGGCCACTCACTAGTCTCGAACCTGATGAACAGGTCTCTGCACACATAGATTCTCGGAAGTGTGGACTCTTGCAGTTGCCAATTCAAGATTGAAGACGGGACTGCAATTCAATCTCTCCTCTGCCCGAGTAAAGTCACCTTATAATCGCAGACAGTAGCTACTAAGGTTACTACAACTAAATTGCTGCAACTCCACTGCCAGATGCTTTTGGACCAAGGGGCGTCATGGCTTTCCACGTGTAGTGGCTCGACAAACTTCCGCGCGTGCAGCGCTGTCTCTGAACCGAAAGCACGGCAACAGCATCAGTGGCTGCGAAGTTCAGGGCTCAGTTGTGGGGTTTTTGTAATAGGACTTTGAGGGTCTAAGTGGTTAGTTATTAGTTAGCATTGAGGCAGAGGGTAGGGGAGGGGGGGTGGGGGTGGGAGCATTGCTGTTGAAAGTCGCTGTTTACGGGTGCAGTCAATCCCCGCGAAAAGCCGAACCGAATTAAGGAAGTATACACTCTCTGCTTACCTGCATATGCAGACATTTTCACATTCATACATACATACATACATACATATATACATACATACATACATACATACATACATACATACATACATACATACATACATACATACACACTCGTATACATATAGAGACAGAGAGCACCTCGGTAAGCTTCCAAACAGTACTGCTAGTCACATGTCAAAAAGCTAGATCCAGTGTCGAAGTTGGCACAGGAGGACTTTGGTGCCAGTACAGCAGGCCCGTGGCCCTTTGTTGCTGCTTGCTCAGGACTTCTGGATTGTCTTTTGTTTTAGCGGTGCTATTGCACCAAATCATGAATGATATTGATGCAGCTGCAAGCCTCAACAATCAGACTAAATTGAAACGGCGCGTGCTTGTATGGGTTGCACAAGGGTTACTGCAAGCATTTCATATGGGCCGTGACAAATAGAAAAGTCTCAGTTTTGGTGCAACATCTTCCAGAAGCACATAGTGACTGAAAGGGACTAACAAATCGACTTCTAAGCACCACACTCTCAACTATCCTCAACACTCTTGTCAGGTGACCGGAAGGCCCAGACCTTCTGAGAAACAGGTACTTCCCCTCTGGAAACTTTGAGCTTTTTGTCTCCTACGAAACTCGGGGTACAGGCTATAGCCTTTAGGGATGGACATCTTGAGCTTTAGGTGCTAGGGCTCCGAAATTTCCGCGGAACCGGTGCAACCTCAAGAACTCCAGCCCCAAGACCCAATAGTAATGATCATAATACCATGAATACGGATCAGAATCATCATGACAGTCATGACACTTATAGTGATAATGCCACTACTGACGCCAGTGAAGATCGTAGTAATGAAACCTGGGGAGCTCCGGACGCTTGGGACCCAGGCGCCATTCACGACCTCTTGAACCTCCTGTGACAGGCCCGAGAAGGTCTGTTGGCGTTCGTTTTTGTTTGTTTGACACCTCTTTTCCTCTCGCCTGGGTAGGTGGTTTAGAGTATAAGGTTTAGGGGTGACAGGTTTTGGTGGCTTTGGGGTTCAGGTTTAGAGGTTCAGGGCTTTTGGTGGTTTCCGTGAGTGTGAGAGAAATGGTGGGCTCTGGGCAAATGCCCTCTGCTCTTCAATGGCCTTGTCCTGTCCCTTGCGTCTGGCTTCGACAGCCCTAAACCCTAAAACCCTAAAGCACAAAAAGAGCTGAATCCTGCCCTTGCCCCCTACATTCGCTGTGCCTGCAACGGAACCGCCAAGCCTCCGCGAAGCAGCCCTACTTGGAGGATCATGGGACTTAGTAAGTAAGGTTATAAGTCTCCTAATTGGGGTTATAAGTATAGTTACCTTAGTTATAACCCTACTTACTAAGCCCCATGATCCTTTAAGTACGTTTCCTGATAAAGGCAGCTCCAAACCCAGGCTCCAAACCACGAGGGAGCAGGCCGATCCTTGAGGGAAGTGCATTTTGCCAGGCGCTTGTTGATCTCGACCTTGCTGAAGACACTTAAGTTCTCCATCCCCAGCCTAAACCCTATAGCTCTATAGTTGAGTAGCACGGGAAGACCGAGCTTCAAAACCTCAAGGCACCGATTCAAGAAATCTGAAACGATCAGGTTCCGGATGAGTGGCGGTCATGCGGCTGTAGGCGGTGCTGGCAGATAATCTGTTAAGTTCGCCATGCAATCCTATGCTACTGGTGACGAAGATACTGACGGTCACAAAAGTCGTGGTGGCGGTGAGAGCGCCAACGGTGGCGGTGTTGGTGATGACTCTGGAGCCAGTGATGGTGCAGCTTCTGAGGGTGATGTTGATGCTAGTCTGCTGGTCATCGTGACAATGGCGACGACGGGCTAGTCATCAGCATGATAACACTCTATATATACACTATACACACCTGAAATCCCAGTGGCGCATCATCATCATCATCATCATCATCATCATCAGCATCAGCATCATCTCAGAAAGGTGCTAATCGTCGGTACCACTATCTCTGTGCTCGCATGCAACATCACACACGGTAAACATCATGACGGTAGTTTTGTGAACTCCATCATCATCGTCATGATCATCGTCACCTCATCATCACCATCTTCGCTGCTTTCCGGATTTTCTAGTGCAACGAATCTGTCGACAAGGTGCATGTCGCGAAGCGGCGCCTCCGAGCCAAGAGCTCATGCTCCCTGGCGTCACAGCGCTCGCAGGTCTTTCGTATGGGGCTGTGGGTAGGCTTCGTATAAATGGATGAGATCCTACATGTCACGCCCATGTGATAGCTACAACATAGCTCTATGTCCAAAAAACATGTTATCTTATCTTTCTGTTTGTGTACATACATACATACACCTGTGTAGGTACAGAGAGACAGAGAGAGAGAGAGAGATACATATATATATATATATAGATAGATAGATACCCACTTAAGAAAATAGTATAGATAAGTTATACTGTATATCTGTGCATGCAACGGCATATATACTTCTGGGCGGACGGATGGATTTTTGGATGGATGGATGCTTAGATCTACTGGAGCGGAAAGAGCTACTCTCGCTTGCAGCTCCGGACAGAGCCTTGCGGGCTACCGGCACGCATGTGTCATGCCAAGGGCACAGGAGGCACGGATGCTATCACATGCTTCGAGTGGTTTGATTCCATGCTACAGCTCCTTCGCTCGGTAAAGGTGTCTTTTATATTCTGCCTCACAAGACTTATGTAATTAATCGAAATCGCACGCTTCCACTTCGCTCGCCCCAAAGCATGCTGACTTGCCACGCCCCTTTTTGTTGCCCTGAATGCTGAGTTAATGGAATAATACGGGTGCACAAAGCCTATTGCTGAGCGCAAGCGTGCGTGTGTCCTGCCAGTCTTGTACGTTCGTTCAATGATCAGTCAAGACCGACGGTACTCCATGATGCCATTCCAACAGCTGCAGCTACGAGTGACTGCCACGCACTCCGCCGCGCGCTACAGTCTTCTAAAGATCTATAAGCTGTATCGGCCATGCCCTTCAGGAGATCGCAGGGAGGATGGCCGGTTGTTCCTTCACCGTCTCAAAACTCTTGGTCAGCGGTCTAGGCATTCACAAGTATGCAAGTACAACATGCGAGACATGCATGAAACAAAAAAAGACGACACAGCAACGTTGCCAAACCTTCGCAGGACTCTGGAATCCGTGCTGGAGCACAGAAAGATGGTGACCACATGAGAGCACAGAACTCAAGCACAGAAGGCTCTGCGATAGATAGCCCAAAAACCAAAAACCATTGAACTGTCAGTCACATCTTTCGCAGCGTGCTGTTACTGATTATCCGCCGTCTGCCGCTTCTCAAAGTTGCAGATGAGCTAGGAATGAAGCTGTACAGGCAGAAGCCGTCTATACTCTCTGGCCAACTTCGCATGTCGTCCTCGCTCCACATCATTCGTCGGTAGTCCTGGTCATCGAGCTTGCCGTTGTTGATCTGGGTGCATTTGCAAGGCAATCGATCTGTTGCTTACGACGAAACAGAGCTGCTCTCGTTGCGCAGCTCCTGTACCAAACTTCGAAGCAAATCCGTGATAGACATTATCGCCTGGGATAGACTCATCCAATGCCGTGGAAGCGTGAAGAAGTACACCATAAACATCTATGAATCCTGCCGACACCAAATCGGCACAAGCCGAGTGCACGACGCAAGCAGCGAAAAGCTCACAGCTGGATCCGCCGCGGGAATGGCCGAGGCACATCACATTCCTGTCACAGTGTCTGGTTTAACTGGGTCCTAGAAAATTCCGAGAATCTCCCGCATCCAAACCCCGCACTCGAACCCCTAACCCCGCATAGATGATTCTCACTGGGATGTTTGGCTCCTGGTCCCATGGAAGTTTCAGGAAGCTCATCCTGTTTGCAGTACTAACAACCCTGACAAAACTCCAGGCATTCGTGCCCGTGAAAAGCATCATGCGAAAACTTGGAGCTGATAAGATGCCCCGAGTCCGCACTGCACATCCACACCTCGACTTATGGAGCCCTTGTAGAAACCTTTTAAGCCCGTGAAACACGGTGTCTTCTCTGTAATGCAAAAGGTAGCCTGCACTTTGGCAGCAGCTTCGAAATTTTTCGCCAGTTCGGCGTCTGGACCTTGGGGAACGATTCTGTGGTTCTCAGGTTCAAACCTTGCTGCTATTGCTTTCAGGGTTACTTGATGTATGGAGCTAAGGTACACGAGCTACTACAAGGGTACTAGCTTCTGCTTGCTTCGCCTGGGCTGTGCGACCTTCAAATCCACGCTGACACCGAGTGGCGCTTTCCACGAGGTAGTTGCGGTAGCCGTGATGGACGTTGGTCATCCCTGGCCGAAAAAAACGCCACAACTTGGTACATACATACACATGTATATATATATATATATTATGTGTGTGTATGTATGTATGTATGTATGTATGTAAGTAAGTATGTAAGTATGTATGTATGTATGTATGTATGTATGTATGTATGTATGCATGTATGTATGCATGTATGTATGTACGTATGCATGCATGTATGCATCTCTCTTCTCGTCTCAGTTGTTGGTTTCCTCCTGCAGTGCTTGGTGGAATCCGCTAGGCAGGGAACGTGTTTGCAACCGAGGCTATAACTTTGTTGATGGGGTGTGGGGATGTAGCAGCGAGTCGATACCGGCCCCGCCAATCTTCAAACGGTGGGGACCAGGCAATGATTTGTGCACTGTGGTCACGTTTGTTTGGCTGGGGGCCACGAAGACTGGTCCAGCATGGCAAATGTTTCAAACCTCCCAATGCCAGAAGGCTGCTTCAAATCCTGAACCCGTGAACCTGAACCCTCAAAAAGTCCTTCTGGGGCACCCACCACAAAACTCGGTACCATACGTCTTCTTCCTGCTTGCCTAAGCCAGGAGGCTGGGATGCCAAGGTTTTGTCTTATGAACATCCTCCGAAACATCATGAGTGCTGTTGTTGCTACTGCTAATACTATTGGTACGTAATACTATGTTTCTATAGGAGCAAGCCTTCTTCGGGGGACCCCCTAAAGATCAGAGCTTCCTTTCTGCCTGCCTCTTTGGCCTTCGAAGAAAGTCGCCTTAGAACCCTCAGCCATGCAAGTCCTCCAGGCAAGCCTCCAAACCCCCAATCAACCACAGCAGCATAGCGAAGTTGCGACTTCAGAACAGTTGATAGCCAAGCGCTTGAGAACCCGATTCCACGAAACACAATCTGCGCGGCGTTTCACCCCCTCAGACCCCGACCCAGTTGCCGGGCAATACCAAGGCACAGTCTAGCGTCTCGGCATCCTTTCAAGCTTTGCTCGTTCAGGGCTTAGGGTACCGGGTAAGGCGCCGGCAAAGCCGATTCGATCCTGGAGTGTGGTCCCGCAGTCTAAGGTTGGGTGCAACACTAGCAATAGCTTTGGGCTGCCAGAGAAATATATATATATATGTAGATGAATATATATATATATATATGGCAGACTCTCCATCCCTTTCGATCCGGGCCTGTGCCAGGAGAGCCGGCTCTTCCGGATCCTTCCAGGGAAAGGCGGTTTCTTGGCCTCCACCTCATCGCTGCTATCAACATCACCATCACAAAACACTTCGCCGCATGATGGGTCCGTGGAGTGTAGATCAGCTGCTGCGTGTGTGCCTTCGGGGTCATCGGTGCGCTGGCAGAAGGTGCCGTGCCTAAATAATTAACAAAGGTTCGTTCGAAAGACCTGCATACAGTACCTTTCACCCTCTTGCTCAAGTTTGTTTGTGGTGACATGTGTGATGGTGGTTTGCGATGACGATGCCCTGCAACGAATTCAACGAGCACCTTTGGCTCCCCACGGCAGACCTGTCCTTGAGAGGCTCTCGCGCCGCGAGATTCCATCCAGGCATATGTTGCCTCGGTGCTATGCAAAACACAAAGGTGGTAGCCCAAATTCGGGCTTTCGAGTGCCAAGGAATGTGCGTAGGATGCAGTGGGGAATGACCTGTGCATCATGTATTTTGGGCATTGCACATCGCTGCGCGGGACGCAGGCCATAGAAGGAACTATACCAGCATGAAGGCTCCACGACCTACGTGACGCACTTGCGCGATTCCCTGCGACCCAAGCACGCGATCAGGTCTGCGACCGACCCTGCATCCAAGCTGCGGCAGTAAACGGTCAACCGTGAGGACTTGACAAGAACGCGGGACATGGTCCTACCCGTACGAAAAAGTGAGAGTAAAGCGACAAGGCCGGTGTCGCGGAAATCTGTAGCGTCCGGAAACCAGCCCTATTGTTCTGCGGCAATGTCGCCCTGCAGCCAGGCTCGGCCCTGCAAAATGTGTGCGCAGCATGAAGCAATCTTCCAACCTACCCGCCTTTGCTCTCTGCTTGCCAGGTGGCTTCAGAATGGCCAGAACTTCTTCTTTGGTGAGCTCGGCGCTCCATGCAAAGTTCACGAACTTCTTGGCCTAGTCACAAACCAACGGTATCAACACGCCTATGCGTACACACCGAACAACTAGACATATATATATATATATGTATATATGTATGTATGTATGTATGTATGTATGTATGTATGTATGCATGTAGTTATGTATGTATGTATGTATGTATGTATGTATGTATGTCTACACATACAGATGTCATGTGTATCTGTTTGTATGTATATATATATATATGTATATACAAATGAGTGTATGTGCGTAGAATAGCTATATCTACATATATATATATATACACACATGTACGCGTGTATACTCATGTTCTGGTTACAGCTGTATTCGTTTGGATATGCACATATGTACCATTATTATGAAGGCCATAGGTATTGTAGATACATAAGTACATCTGCACGCTTGGGCGTCGTTTGCCGTATGTGCGGACATGTATGACTAAAACATTGCGATTTCACGTCTCGTACAAGTATGTGCCATGCAGACGTGAGTGAGTAACCATAGTCGCTCGGCTGGAAAAGTGGCGGTGCTGTCTCAAGGCTAGCGACGACAAGTTAGCTTCTACTTGGGGACACTATGGGAACCGAAGGAGCAGTCGCTGTTCAAAACAGGGCACTAGACCAGAAGCCGCAAACCCCCACCACTGCAACTACCCGCGCTACCAATCCGACAAGTGCGGCTATCACAACCACAACCACCGGCGACAAGCAGCTGAACAGCGTTGTGAAAACTATCACTCCGGACCGGCAGCACCACAATACCATGTGCATGATGCACATGCCGGTGATGAAGTTCGACGGGAATCACGGAATCACATCATGAGGATTGTCGCGGACTAGATTTCCAATGTTGATGAAGAACTCCCGGCCTCAGCGTACAGCTCGTTGTTCGGGGCTTTCCTGGCCCAGCTTGGCATACTTTGTGTCCAATGATCACAACCGCGAGAGCACGTATGAATCGTAAACCCTTGAATATATGCAAAGTCGGGCACCGAGCTCGTCACGTAGCCCTGAATGACTTCTGAATGCCTAATGCACAAGCCAAACACAGACTTGCGCGTGTACAACTCAGAAGGGGCTACCCGACGAGCTGCTCCAAGCGGTCCCAGTACACTTTCGCCTGAGAGCACAAGCAAAGCCAGCGAGAGTGCAAGGTTGTCCACGACAAGAACTGATGCTCTGCGGCGAGTGCCGGCTTGCCAACTCCGACGATATGTGGTTTTTGTGCCCTGAGCCGCCCGCAGAATGTTGGTACCAGTCCTGCAATCGCTCGCAGCAAAGCTCGGTTCACGACAGCAGAAAGAGGAAATGTGCTCAATGGTGATGCTTATGATGTTTGGTCTCGAATGTCCACTGCTCGCATGGCTCTTATGGTCGCCATGCAGCTTGCCCAGCTGCAGGCCAACCCCGAGATATCCACACTAATACAAAAGAACTGGGTATTAAGTATGCAGATCCTCGTAAGCGAGTCCATTGTGATGTGGCCACCACACACCTCAGATGTTGTGCTTGAGCACGTGCCACTGAGACTGAGCACCGCTGAGGATGTCAAAAGCTAAACCGTGGACTGTTTGCTGCAACTACGTCGCTTGAAACCCAAGCATCCTAGCTGCAGGATTCATGCAACAACATAATGAGACTCATATCACCATTGTTTCAACGACAAAAACTTGGATGTTTTAGGCAAAACCTCTACATCCGTTGCTGAAACTGAGCCGGCTGCTGTCTGCATCCTTGGTGACACAGTTGTCGAAATGCGAATCCTGATTCCACTGCAGGGACCTCGACCAACACTTCGAGGTTCAGACTCGAGAGCTTTAGGGTTTAGGGGTTCATAGGGGTTAGGGGCAATCATGGCAGCTGAGCGAAGGGTCTCCATGCTCAAGAGTTCGTTATCGGCGTGCTTCGGGGCTACAGCCGGATCCGTGGATCAGCAGACATCTTCGAGCAGCTGCATGGACGGTGGCATGGTAGCTTTCCGACTTTCCATCCGAACAGCTCATGCAACCCTTGAGGCTCTCGCAGGACATTCATCTTCGGGTGAGGGAAGTAGTTGTCGCTGAAGGTGCGCGCATCGATCTGCGTCAGACGGTCGAAGGCGCTCCCAGTGTGCAATTCAACAAAACAATTAACAACCCGGAGAAGTCCAGGCAACAAAACAGAGTGACAACAACCCCCATGTGACAGCGTCTCTGTTGACGCACTTCCCAACCAAAGCCCATAATCCTCCGAAGCCGAGATAAGGACCATCAAGAAAGCCCTCCCCTACCGGGTCGTCGCTGCCCACTGCGCCTGCTTGCCACCGCCTCTGAGATCGTTTTCAGAGTAGACCTCGGATCGCTGAATTAGGGAAAAGCCCTTAAACCATTATCGGTAATTGTGCTGGATGGAGCAGTACACCTTTAAAGAATTAAAGCATAGCAGGGACTTTCTGGCCATTGCTTTGACAAGACTGTTGACAGGAACCTTCATGAGTCTTGGAAGTAGATTCGGAACGACAAGATTCTTCTCTAGTGGGGCGCTGTCATGTTTTTTCCAGGCTTCACTGACACCTCTCCACTAGGAAGCTCAGGTTACACGTCTCAGGGTATCAGGACGAGGCATCAGGCAAGAAGAGGTCGAATCACGACTTCCACAGCCTGAACTCCTGTCTTAAGGGCCCAGGTAATAGTGTACTATATACTGTTGGGGCCCAAATATCTACTAAGTAGCTACACAAAAACTTGTACTTGGAAACTTACTGAATGGGTCAGGAAGTTCGTAAACACAAATATAGACCAACAAGATCTCAGCAACATCATCATCAGCACCACCCAGACCATTGCATTCTCACCACCGCAGCCGGCTCGCCACCGCTGCCACCACCACCGACTGCCAGAACCAGCACTACCAGCAGCAGCAAAGCAGCATTAGCAGAACTAGCAGCAACCTGAGACACTTGTATGAATCCATCCAGCCATACAGAATTAAATACAGACATACACAGACATGTGTTTACGCATTCTCACACGTGCTATGTTAGCTTGCCAGCGCATACGCCAGTGGTCTATAGACACTATGAGTAGAAGGTAGATCAGGTAGCTGCAGACTCACAGACATCTATCAACCCATGAACCTGGAATCTGGACAAAAGCCCAAGCGCCTACAGTCGATAGGTTGCTGCCCTTAGCAAAAGAGCAACAACTATCCCCTTTATAAGCAACTGGGGATATCAAGGGGAGCCGTCTACTCCAAATCGACAGCCAGAGTTGGAAGCCTCTCTCTGACATTCTCTGACTCTGTGGACTCTTAGGTCGCGCTAACACGCTGCGTTGTCTCCCGGAAAGCGCTTCGAGCACCAAGGAGTACTTCTGCCAAAGAGCGCGGAGACCCTTGAAGCAGCCATTGGCAGTCTTGGAATCCTGAAGCAGCAGCACCAAATTCTACTCCAAATCCGACTACATGATGACTACATTGTCTGAGTAGTCCTACAAGTAGTTTCAAGTATGCCTTTTAAAGCTCACAAATCGACCTCCAATTCTGGCCGTAGCACAGAAACCTTTGTCCAGGACAGGGTACTCCAATCTATAAAACAGAAAACGATGCCGATCGCAATTCTGGCAAGCTTGCATCCTGAACAGACAGATGGCTGGGAGCCTTCCTTCAGGAATCCGGTCTCTCATATATTTTGCGCACAGAGTATGCTGAAGGGTTCCTTTCTTTAGTCGCCATGCGCCTTCAACGGAGGATCCGCCACGGCCGGCGTGCCGTAGGTGAACCTGGCATGTTGCCCACAGAGTCGTGCCAAGAGGATCCCGTCCCAGTTTCTCAACCCAAGCTTCCAGCGCAGTTCCACTAATTTCACATAGATGTACAATAAATTCTGGGATGGCGCTGCAAACAGGACAGGCAACTTAGCCTTACGACTCATGTCCGTATGTTTCCTTAACTCGGTCATTCCATTCCACAAATCCACCATGCTCCCCGAATCAATCCTCTTTCGAACCCGTTAAACCCTGTGACGCCAGGCGCACAAAGCATGGACCGTTCCGAGGCCGCCTGGACCGTTGCCCAATGCCTCAGCGTTCAAAAACGCAGGAGTTGCAAGATTGAATACAAGTACGGTTACCATCATTTGAGCTTCGCTCAGGGTTGTCTGCAGCACATCTTGCATGCCGGGCACCCCAAAGCCTGCAAGAGCGAAACTTTCCCGACTCGAAACCTACCCGACCCGGAAACAACCTGCAAGTTTGGGATTCTGCATTATGATGTCGGTACGTAAGTAAGTTACTTAAGAAAGGTATGTAAGTGGGATTGATATCTTGGGGCCAACACCCCCTATAAGCCCTACTCATAAATGTCGGTGCCATGCTGCTGCCGCCTCTTCCGCACTGCCGATCTCCGGCATGAGCTCTGGCGCTCCTGTCTTACCAGTAGCTGCAAACAGAGTAGCAATAGCTGTAGCAATGATGCAGACAATCATGCTTTCATGATGGCATCTAAATGCCTCGTTTTGATTTAGGCTTTGGGGTGTGTTTTGGGTGGTGCGAGCTGCGTAAGCTACCATGCATAGCAAAACCGGTCTACGTCCTTTGTACCACATGAGCTTCTTGTAGTCCTCAGTCGGTACGACGTCTAGACTCTCAAAGCTTTTGGCATGGTGAAACAACCTCAATCGAGAGCTGACAGGAATGGTTTCCACGGAGGGACGATGGTTCAAGCCACCACGGCCACGCTTCAATACTTGAGGCGTTTGAGATCTAGACTTTCACTTTTGCAGAACAGCTACTGCGTCGGCGGCATGACCACTGTTGATGCAACCGGAGAAAACGTCACCTGGGTGTCAGGGCAGCTTGCAATTGACGATCAAAAGCATGAGGTCAGGCCATCGATGTTCAGGAATTGGCTGCAATCGCTACTCGTTGGAACCAATGAGAAGATTGGGCGCACAGCTGAGGTCTTGCAAGGCTTCGCCGCGCCGGAGCTGGGAAGCAGGCAGGGGGAGGAAATCTAGCGCACTCTATTTCGGAATTGCCAGCCAGCTGCACATGGCGCCGCCCAGCGAATGGCCAACACAGATCACACCTCAAGCAAATGCAATAGTACAGCCAGAAAGTGTGCGTTTTTCAATCAAGACGGTCTGCGCGCTGAAGCAGTTTGCCCTCATGTGCGAAGACAAAGCCTGACATGGCCAAAAGCGAAGGCAAGGCACGATTGCACTTGGCCAATTTTGCGGTGATCTTCGGCCATATCGCATGGTCGGACAGCTGCCAGATTTCATCGCGGTAGCCCGCATGGACCTGTGCCCGCACGCAAAGTCCAAACGTCGCATATAATAGTATGTCATACTTCAGAGTTTGTATGTCGTTCAGTTCAACTAAGGGGTCAATACTTGGAGGGAAACACAACTTAAACGTACTACGATGCGCTCATCATCACAGAGTCATCTTCAACTCGTCTTAATCCGAGAACCCCTGGGAGCTCAAACTCATCGGACGTCGGAATCGGGCTTCCGACCTGAAACCCGGAACCTGCTGGCCTGCTGGATCATGCTGTTTCTGTGACTTGCCTAAACCCTTTAAGATGTAAACCCACAGACCGGCAGGGGCAGACCATTGAGGTTCTTTTAAGGTGGCCCAATCAGGCTCAAGTCCCGTGGCGAGCCTGGTCGAAGCCACAGTAGCCCGTCAGGTGCTGCCTGCAAGGTCCATTCAATGGGATCCGAACTTCGGGGTTTCGCTAGGACCTGACGTTGCCGCTCGGACACATAGACGAGGCAGTGCAGCGAAAAATCTCGAATCACTAATATGCCAATATGCCCCCTCGAACTTGCCAACGGTCCCAAACGTCAAAGGTCTGTCGAAGGTGAGACTAACTAAGCATCTCTCTTTTGCACAAGCTTGTGGAAGCATGCAGGGCAAGGAAACCCTCTTCAAGCGCCTACCGTTCGAAAAACGTAGCCAAACCTGAGAAGCTTGAAACAGCTTGAACACAAAACATAGTAACCGTAGTAAGTTGACCTAGATCCCCTGAGCCCGACCGAAGCATTGGAGCCGGAAGTCTTATGGTATCTCCCTGCAGAAGCCCCTCCAGTTCAGCCCCGCGCTTTACGGACGAGCCCAGCTCGCCGAAGGTGTTCGTCCCGGTGAAGATGAGGGCACAGTCGAGATTCTTACCTAGGCGTACGAACATACAAAAAGACAGACTGACAGGCAAACCATGCGTACTCAAGCACTGAAGATGTCGGCGTGATGTCGAAAATGATCCTCTCGGATTCAGAACTCAGACTTGCCTTAGCCGCGGCAGGAAACCATCTCAGGATCACCTTCGTGGACTTAGGCACGAGAACCAGACTTGCATTTCGAGGTGCCGTTTTGGGCGATGAGGATTGGGTCGTCATCGTAGGAGCCACTCGTCCACCTTGCAAGAAATCGGCCGAACAACAATGCCTGCTCATGGTACTGATCGAACTGTCAAAATTCTGAAAACAAAACTGCATGCGCAGACTCGCGCACATGCGCGTTCGTGCGTACATGTGAATGAAGACCCACACGCGTGGACAAAGGCTGGTGCATCACAGCGTGGTGGTGGTGACAAGGTGTTGGAAGTTCTGCTCGCCATATTTGCATTTTCCGCTGCTTTGGAGCTTTGAGAAGCAGGTGAAGGGCGGCATTCACGTGGTCCGAGAAAGGCAAACCGGTCTTACAGACCCATAACAGTCCTCTCTCTCTCTGTACACACACTCACGAACATGTAGAGGAACAACTATACTATACATATTGCATATATAAGTGCATCATAAGTAACAAACACATGTGTAAGTACATGTGTGTGTATATATATATATATATGTGTGCGTGTGTATGTATATCTATACCTATATAATCCTCTATATATATATATACACACCAATAGGTGCAAACATAAACAAGTTGAAGGGTGAATACAGTTTATATGCATATGTGTGATATGTATGTACGAGCACACACGCACACACACACACACACACAACTCACATCCCAAACAGAGATGCACCAAAGGTAGAGAAAAGTCTAAGTGTGCAAGCAAGCCGCTCGAAAACATGCCGATCGACCAGGCGCCACTCTGACAGCTTCTCCGCAAGCTCCTCGAAAGGACAACGACGCGGAGTTCGCGGCTGAAAGACTTCCGGTTCAGGGTTTATATTATATAGGGTACACTGACAACCAGGCGAAGCTTGAATTTCGGAACAAAGCTACTACGAGTAGTCCATGCTTGCTACTATCCTCGTGGGACTCTTGGAGGAAGAAGGGTGACAAGGCTCTTCTCCAGCAACTCTGTATACAGCCACCGGTCTCCGATCTGCAAATTAAGGAGCGCACTGTCTCTTTTTCGAAATCTTTGCTCGGTGCTGCACTCGCAAGTGCATGCCTTTCGGCTCTTCCTTCGCGATTGGATCTCCGGGGTGGTGTGAAGAACTCCTTCTGGCATAGGCGGACGGGCAGATTTCAATGTGAACGATTTGGGAGTTTCCAAAAATTAGGGTACCTTATTTGGGGGGTC